AGTTCCTACTTCAGCCTTAGAAGCTTCTGGAAGGTTTTTCACGTTATTACTCTCAGTGATTAAAGTGTCAACATGGAAGAAGGCGGGAAAAATTATAAAAAGCGGTTGGAAGTTCAGATTTGGAATCTTTTCTAAGCTTTTCTCATTTTTTTCATTTCCACACCTTAGGAGAGTTAGAGAGGGAGATTGGGGGTGACTTTCAAGCTCTAGACCTTGAGGAATCAGGCTGGGGATTAGATTTATGAAGAAACTTTACAACTTCTCTTCTTCTACTCTTTCTTTCTTTTTCTTTTAAGAATATGTTCTGATTTCTTTTTGTTAAGGATTGATGGATCCGATTTTGATATTATAAATTGATTGTGGATCTGGATTTTAAGACCTTACTTGTATTGAACGTTTAATTCTTTCCTTAATGCAATTGTGAACTAATCATTCATTCAATTGAACTTAGAGGAATCTTCATAAATGGAAATTGAGTTAATTTCTCAAATCTGAATTGAATGTCAAGGTTATGGATATCTTAGGGATAAGAATTTGTGATCTTGTGATCTCTTAATTTCTAATGCTTAATGCAATGTTTGATTGAATTATACCTAAGAAATTAGGGTAGTTTAGTTAGATATTAGGATCAATAAGGCAAGAAATTGTCCTTTGATTAATCTATTGAAATTAATCATCAATCAATTAAGGAACTTAGAGTTCAAATTTCATTCAATTTTGCAATTGATAAAGAGGTCAAATCAATCATAACTTCATTTATATATCATTTCGTTTCTAAATTCGTAGCTTTGTTTTCTTGTATTTTTTTATTTCTACACTTTATTACTTTTGTTTGTTAAATGATTCAAAACACTCTAAATTTGTTTGGCTCAACTAGTTATTGATTTGTGAAGTGATAATTGATAGAACTAATACCTGAGAATGATACTTGGGACTCATTAATTTCTAAATTTTGTTACTTACTACAACTACCTAGTGCACTTGCTAGTTAGTATTCTCTCTAATTTTGTGACAGCTACCAAAGTTTATTTTAAAAAAATCTTGAATTTTTTTAAAATAATATGATCTTTGAAACTAAAAATGAGTTTGAAAGTCATTTATGTGTAGGGAAGATATTAGCACTCTACAACATCCCTAAAAAAAATGATGGCAAATTTATTTTAATTTTGAAAAATATTCATTTAACCCTTAAACAAAAGTGTTATTATTTTTATTTTTATTTTTTAAAGAAGATAAATTATTTATTGAAATGTTAATTAGTATCTTAAAAGAGAAAAATTATTTTGAAAATTATTTTGACTTGAAGGGTCTAATTCTTGCTTCTACGTATCTCTAGATGCAATGAAGAACTCAAAGTTATGTAGTTCTATCATAAAAATTTTGAAGTTGGTTTATTAAAATTAAATTTAGTAAAAAAATTTATTTTAAGATTAAAATTATTTTTATAGGATTATAATATTTAGAATACAAGGTAACGCAGTTATACATGTATCATACGAGAAACAATATGGAAGGTGAAGGAAGGTCATGCAACAATATTACAAATAGTTAAACATAGTTTTATTTGTAAATAAAATATTTGAATTTATATTTAAATTATAATTAATTTTGAAAGAGAATTTTAGATAGCGTAAGTTATACATAAATCTCTTATAATTTTCTTCCTTAAAACTATTTTTTTTCTTTTGAAAAAATTTGCTCCTTTCTAAAATCGGTTGCTGCCTCCTCTCCAAAAATATTCCCGCCTTTTGGATCTCTCACTTAAGTTTTTATACTGGTTTTCAATCTCACATTTTAGGTTTCATAAAATACCAAATGTCTAAGCTTTTTCCTCTTTTCGTGTATAAAGTCTGTTTTGAAATAAGGTGTAAGCCTACAAGACTTTCATTTCCAAGAACCAATCTTTTTTCAAAGTTTTTCATTTGTTGAGAATCTGAATCAATAGCTATTATTAGTGTTTATTCCTACTTTATGAGTTTTAATTATAGTAATTATGAGAGTAAATAGGTTGTAACATATTTATGAATAGCTTTATTTGTGATTTATTTTCAGATTTATGAGTAGAATTAAAATCAACTTTAAGTTATGGTTTTCTTGTATTTAAAAATTGTTAGTATGAATAAAAGTGTGAGTTTCCACTTTCAAGTTCATAACTTTCTAAATTTCTTTTCTAACACTATTCTTTTGTAAAATAATTTTATTATTTTATTCTAATTTTTTTATATTTGAATGCAATTCCCTGGGAGGAAGAAATTGGTCTTCACACCTAAAATACATTATTCTCAAATCACAGTTTGAATAGAGAATGTCTAAATTTTTTAAATGGAATTCGTACTTAATCTAAGAACAATACTTCAACCAGTGCTTATGCTAGCAAAGCAATGTAACTGTTATTTAAGTAATATAATAATTTATTTTTGTTTTTCTTTTGGATGAAAGTAACTTAAGTAAGTGCAGAGTGTCCCAGCAATACGAAATAAGAGATAATAAGAGCTTACCAGCCTAACAGCTTCTTTTTCACACTCACTGGTATCTAATTTACCACAAAATACATTTATATCAAAGCTTATATTTGCCTAATTACTAATGAGTTTTTTATATATATATATAAAGCCAACATGTTAGCGTGTCAAAAGCTAACTCATTTGTCGTTATGAATTATAGTGTTAAAAGCCAACGCATATTAGCATAATAGATTGGTAATTTAATCCTACAAAACAAACCACACTTGCTATCACAAATAAATGGGAGAAAATAGCAAAGGACTCACATTTATAACTTCAAAAAACATTACTGTTGGAATCAAGTATGAATTAAGTCCCACATGGAATGAGATATGAGTAAGTTAGAGGTTTGTAAAGAGATGGACCCATATACCTATTGCCTTAAGATTTTTGGGTTGCATTGTGGTATCCTACTCGTTGTAAAGCTCCCTATCTAATACTCTACCCAACAGTGGTATCAGAGTTGGGTCGATCTAGGTGACCAACTCAAACGAGTAGATGAGCCGCGACCAAGAGAGTCAACGGTGTGAACCCATGGTCAATATGAAAGTGAACCATAAAAAGGAAACGATTATGGTGACACTGGTGGCACATGTAGAGGGTGTCAAGCAGCCCAAAAAGTGTCGTTAAGTGGATGACAGCCCACGTGGTGTAGACCATGGATACTCGTGATGAAACAAAAACTTCTGTTATGGAGGGAGCACTTGAGGATGAGTGTTGGAATCAAGTGTGAATTGAATCCCACATGGAATGGGATATGAGCAAGTTAGGGGTTAATAAAGATATGGACTCATGTACCGATTTCCTTAAGGTTTTGGGGTTACATTGTGGTTTTCTACTCATTGTAAGGCTCCCTACCTAATACTCTCTTAGCAAATTTTTCTCAAACATCTAGTCATCTCCATAATGGTGTGGTTCTTTGTCTCGCTAACTCCATTTTGTTTTGGAGTGTAAGTGAGTTGATGTTCAATCCCTACTTCTTCACAAAAATAATTAAATTGATTGAAGGTATACTCCTTGTCATTGTCAGATCTCAATGCTTGTATTTTATGACCACTTTATGTTTTAATCCATTGCTTGAATTGCCAAAAAATACCAGTAACTTTTGACTTGAATCTAAGAAAATATATCCAACACATTCTGGAGTAGTCATCAATAAAAATCAAAAAGTACCTGCTACCATTGAGAGATGGAGTGCTGTGAGGACCAGCCACATTTGTGTGTATCAATTGTAGCTTTTCAGTAGCTTTCCAAGTTAATTGTTTGAATTAAAGTCTTAATTGCTTGAACCAATTCCATTCTTTGCAAATTCACAATAGTTGTATGATCGAAGTGTCCAAGCCTCTTGTGCCAAACTTTAGTGTGGACATTTGTTGTAGAGAATGTTGTTTGCTCCTACTTCGTTAGATTAAGCGCAAAAATTTTTCCTTTTATTTTTACTGTAAATACCTCGTTGTCATTTGAATCTTTGATCAAACACTGATCACTTTCAAAGATAACTTTGAAACCTTTTTGAATCAACTGGCCAACACTCCACAAATTTTGACTGATGTTAGGTACAATAACACATCTTTGATAAGTTTTGTACCTAAAATACTTTCAATTGCTATTGTGCCTTTTCCTTTGACTGCAATGTATTCTCCATTTCCAATCTTTACTTTGGAAACTACAGAAGTATCCAATTTCTTAAAGTGGTCACGATCAAATGTCATATGATTAGTACTACCACTGTCAATTAGCCACTTCTTGCTTGAATTGGAGATGGCAAAGCAAGTGGCCACAAAAAGCTGCTCCTCTTCTTCATCAGCAACTTGAGCAATGTTCTTTTGTTGCACATTCTCTTGCACGAATGTAGTTTGCTGATTGTTGCTTTTGCAAATTCTTTGATGATGCCCCATCTTTAAGCATTTTTCACATTTCTGGTCTAGCTTCCTCCAACAATTTGAAGGCGGATGATTTTTTCTTCCATAATGTTTACAAGGAGAGAAATCAGAATTGTCATTCTTATAACTTTCAAATTTTTTTCTTTTTCCACCATAACTTAAGCTAGCTTTCGTGGCTAGTGCACCTTCAACAGACCCTTTAGACCTCATAAGCCTTCTTTGTTCTTGTGCCTGCAACACGTTCATCAATTCTGCCAAACTAATATTTGACAGATTTTTGGACCTTTCCAAGGAAGAAATGGTAGCTTCAAACCTTTCAAGAATAGTTACAATAATTTTTTGTACTAATCTAGAATCAGGAAATTCAAAACCAAGTAATCTTAATTTGTTTGCGATTCTAAGTAATTTGTCAAAGTACTCCTTCACTGTCTTAGATTCATTCATCTTCTGGAACTCTAACTCCCTAATCAGGTTTAGAATTTCATTTCTTTAATCCTTTCATCTCCTTCATACTCCTTTTTCAAGAAATTCCAAACTTCAAAACCTGAGTTTATCATCATGATTCTAAGAAAGATTTTAGGAGAAATAGCAGCAAATAACAAAGCTCGTGTCTTCAATTTTCTTGATTTTCTCTCCTATGAGTCTTTATCTGTGCCATTGTCGGGTTTGCAGGCGATGGAAGAACTTCATAGTCCTCCTCCACAGCTTCCCAGAGATCATTTGCCTCAAGATGAGCCTCCATCCTTGCTGCCCAAACATGATAACCTTCACCATCAAAAACTTGTGGTGCCAGTGCCGTGAATGACGTTTCTAAATTCATAGATGAAGAAAAACCAAGATAAAGTATTCTCAGTCATAGGTCCCTCAAGAAGAGAGCTCTAGATACCAGTTTGTTGGAGTTTTAAAAGAAATGAAAGAATAAATCAGTTTCGTAAGATGTAAATAAGAATGAAATTTTCTGTATAAAGTCTATATTTTTATTGGACTGGTGAAGACTTTAAATACAGCTAAAACTCAAACTAAAAAACAAGAAAATAGGAACTACACATAGGACACAATTCCATGTTTAACAACTTCCAAACAAATCTGAAACTACTGCTGACTAAGTTATTTGAAACAGTCAAACAACTTTAACTAAAAATAAAAAATAAAACAGCTTTGGTTGCTGCAAACTCCAAGTTTTTCTCTAAGAAACTCAAACTTGCTTCTTGGTAAAGGCTTGGTAAATATATCAGCAAGTTACAATTCAGATTTGCCATAAGTCAAGCTAACTGTACCTTCCTTTTGCACTTCTTGGAGAAAAATAATTTGATATTAAAGTGTTTCATTTTTCCATGAAAAATAGGATTGTTTGAAATAGAAATAGCAGCTTGATCATCAACAAATATTTCAGTACGTCTCTCTTGTTTCGTATTCAAATCTACTAACATTTTTCTTAACCACAAAGCTTGATTTACAGCAGCACTAGCTGCAGTGAATTCAACTTCTGTTGTAGACTGCGCCACCGTATTTTGCTTTTTGCAACACCATGAGAATGCACATGATCCAAACAAGAAACAGTAGCCTGAAGTGCTCTTTAGGTCATCAAGAGAACCTCCCCAGTCACTGTCAGAATATCCTTGCAATACATAATCCTAACTTACGCAAAGTTTGATTCCAAAATTTATTGTCCTTTTCACATACCTCATGACTCTTTTAGCAGCAGTAAGATGCGTTTCAATTGCACAATTGATAAATCTAGATAATAGATTTACTGAATGTAAGATATCAGGTCTAGTAGTTGTTAAGTACATTAAGCAACCAACTAGACTTCTGTAAAAAGTTTCATCAACTAGTTCAGCTTAATTTTTTTTTACTCAATTTCTCCTTCTGGCACATTGGAGTATCTATGCTCTTGCATTCATCCATTCTGAATTTTTTTAGAATTTCTTTAACATACTTCTTTTGACAGATGAACACTTCTCTATTTTTCTGATTTATTTCCATTCCTAGAAAATAAGCCATTTCCCCCAAATCTATCATCTAAAAAATTTGCTTCATATCTTCTTTGAACTTTCTCACAAGCTCTTCATTGTTTCTTGTAACCAGCAAATCGTCCACATATAATGAGACAACAACGAAATTGATTTCATCACCTTTAATGTAGAGAGTAGCTTCATTAAGACTTCTTTTGAAACTCAATTTCATCAAATATCATCAATTCTGTTGTACCATGCTCTTGGAGCCTGTTTCAGACCATACAAGGCCTTCTTGAGCAAGTACACATCATCTTCTTGCTCTTTCATAGCAAAGCCTTCAGGTTGCTCAACATAAATCTCCTCCTCCAAGAAACCATTTAAGAATGTTGACTAAACGTCAAGTTGGTAAACTTTCCAACCCTTTTGTGCAACTATTACAAGCAGCAGACTTATTGTGTCTAATTTAGCAACAGGAGCAAAAGTATCAGAAATATCAACAGCAAAAATTTAAGCATACCCTATTACAACAAGCCTGGCTTTATACTTGTTGAGCCATCAGGATTCAATAGCTCATTTTCATCAAGTTGAGATTTTGAAACTTGATCAGAAAATTCAACTAGCATATCTCTATGTAACAGCTCGGCAACTTATTCAGGATTGAAAACTGTCCCCACAAATCAACACAAGATTTTTCAGCGTGCTTTGTCCTCACTCGCACACTTCCCAGAAACTTCCTGATAGGCCACCGAAAAGTAAATGCATTTTGTTTGTATAAATAGTCCTAATCAATTCCTTTAAGCTATCCTCAACTATATACAGTCTCTGGATCCCCCTCTCATTCTGATGTAAGTTCGATTCATTCATGTGCCCCTTACCGTCAGAAGCCTGCAAGGTAGCCACTCCTTGTCCGTGCCACATTGTACCGACTATCACTCCCCGCCCTCACCTAGCGCCTGGGTGTCACATGCCTACCAGCTTCCGCGTGTTTCGTCCTCGAACCACACCGTACTGGGAGAGAGGCCTGCTCTGATACCATTATTGTAACACCTTAATTTTTAAATTTCTGAATAAATATGTTTTTACAAGGTTCAGAGTAGTAAAAATTTTTCATTCAGATAATTGTTCAAGCACAATTTCATAAAATGTTTCAAATAAGAAATTAGAGTACAATTTGCATCATTACTTGCTACAGGACTTAAATATACATCAGATTTTCAGAATAAATTTCTATGTCCTATAGCAATTTCATCCTTCCTTCCTTCAAGGGCCCCGGTGTTGATCGTCTTGGTTACCTGAAAAATAAACGTAAGGATGAGTCCTTTACACTAGTATAAACACACAGAGAAGCATTAGACTCACCTGACTCATTATACATAAATTCTAATCATATTAGGGGCATACGTTAACGACCATCATGCATCCAAATTCTGAATCACAATAGGTGCGCTCACTGCACCAATTACAAATCCACAAATTTACACAAACACACGTTCGCTCACTGCACGTAGCCACACTCACTGTGGCACTGTGATCACAGATTACTGATGCCCTTGACCTCAGGGACTTACTTAGTTATACTATGGATGGTCGCCCGAATAGTCCACTCCCGCAGTATTGAGCCCCCCAGGCAAAGGTGTTAGTTAGAGGCCGAGTTAGGAGGAGAGTGTGTGGCCTGTGGTGCACCCACGCTCACTATTGGTGTCACCACCATCCTCTCTTCCCCAAGGTATTTCTACCGCCCCCATCTTCCACACTCCAGTGTATCTCTGAACCATTCATAGTTCCAACACCCAAACACATCATCATTCATTCAACATGCCATCCACACTCATTTCCAACCATTCACATTATTCAATTAGCAATCAAGGGCATGTCAACACAATTTCATCCACATTGTAACCAACTATTTCATCACAATAGTCACAAGTCATGCTCCACATATTCACAATCACATTTCTATCATACACATATCATTTCCTAGCATCCAATGACAACCAACACAAATCATCTCACTCAATTTCACACAATGTGCCAGAGGTCGGACACCTCTGGACTCAACCCAATTCATATAATTCATGAATACACATATTTCCGCCTTCCATTTCTATCTCATTGCCATAAACAACCAAATAGACCTATTTTTAACAAAGATAACTAGAGTAAAGTCCTCCCCTTACCTCAAAACGAAGGCCTGACATGAAACGTTGATGGAATCGCCTCCCTACACGGTTTTGGTCCCTAAAGCACACAGAAATCCCGAGGAAACTTAGGGGAAACTTCAAAAAATGAAGGAAAGGGACGAAAACCGAAACCCTAACCATAGAACTTACCTTCAAAGACTCCAAATGTATTTCCAACCTTCAATCAAGCTCTCAAACGTCCTTGGAGGGCTTTTAATCAGTAGGAATGGGTTTGGGTAGAGAGAATCGTGAAGGAGAGAGAGGGAAATTATGAAAAATTAACCCTCTCCTCGAACCTTAACCCTTCAAATACTCCTTTAATCACGACACTCTTACTACAACGACTCCTCTCGCTGCAGCGAGGCACCTCTCGCTGCAGTGACGCCCTCTATCGCTACAGCAAAAACTCAGACAAATCTACACTCTGGTTTCTGCAGAATCTCTGATATGAACCCTATTTGCATAAGGGCTGACTTAGGATCTTTAGGGTTAGAACCTTGTAGAAAAATTTGAAAATTTAGTGATGAATTTCTGGGCAAATTAGGTGTTGGTCCATGGTGTTAAAATGAGTGAAAAAGGAAGCAAAAACGCTGGTTTGGTGGTGGCTGGACAGAATTTTAGAAATGACGGTATCTCGAGTTATAGAACTCCAATTGAGGTGATTCCAAAACGAGGTGAAAGTTCTCGTTCTGAAATTCAATTTAGGCTCAAGAATCACTCAATTTGGCTGAGTAGAACGAGAGTTATGATAACGAGATAATTCTGGGCAGATTTGAGTTTTTTTTGGAATTTTGGTGAAGAATTGAATGGGGGAAGGAAAGAATCACTCTTTCCAAGGAAGGCAACAAACAAAGGGATGTGACAGCCCTTTGATACAGCCAAGGTATTCTTGAATCACTCAAGAACTTAGGAGAATCACTCTCACTAAGATAAAAGAGATAAACTCTAATATTTCTGAATCAAACTTAACTTGTCTTATTGATAAGAATGGTTCGGCTTATATAGAAGCTTTACCATCAGAATTACAAGGGTTCCGTAACGGAAAATACATTCCACTTAGATAATGATCCACTAAGCTAAGAAATGAAACTACTTGATGGCTGATTGTAACTGAAATTGTGGCAACCAAAAAGTCACCCAACAGCCACTAGCTATGCGCCTCTTGGTCTCCCAAAGGCTGATGCCTAAGTTGCCAATTGGGCCCTTATTACAACTTGAAATAAAACCAAACCAAAGCCCATTAGTTGATTAACCGCAAAACATAATTTGGTCAGCCAACTTTACAAAGGATTGGGCCATTATTTAAAACAAACTAAAAACTTAAAAACTGAAGCAAAGTGGCGCCTTAGTTCTCCTCTATTTGGGCCATGATGCAATTCACAACCTTGGTCTTTTCTCCTTGAAACTTGGGCTTGTATTCAATTAATATGGACAACACTTGTTGAAGAGCTTCCTTTGCTCTCCTTGCTCTAGCCCTTATCATAGGTCCTCCAAGTCCTTCAAGAGGATCCTTGCCCTTGCTCACGGTCATGTTCTCATCAATCTCGCTACAGTGAGACCCTCTCGCTACAGCGAGATTGCACCCAGAAATGCACCCTAAACTGTCGCTCTATCGCTACAGCGAGACATCTCTCACTACAGTGAGAAGGCGACAGTCGCATGCCTTCCTCCCAAGGACCTCTCGCTACAGCGAGAATGCCCTGCACCAGGATTTAACCTATTTCTTTCAATCTAAATTCCAATCACACACACGTATACATACATTTACATATATCTATATTCACACACACATTCCCATCAAACAAAGGCACATCCATATCACCATCAAGTCAATCATCATACCACAACATAGTATATATATATATATATATATATATATATATATATATATATATTCAAACAATATTACATTTTCAGGGCGTTACAACTATTTGGTATCAGAGCAGTTCATCCAACCGGACTGGGGTAACAGGCTGAAGCGTCCAAGATAAGTATTGATTGTTTTGTTTACTTGAATTGTAAATGCTATGATTGATCTGATGAATTGGAATGTTGTTTGCTGATTTGTGATGAGCTTAGATAAAGCATGGCTAGTAGAGGTAGAGGTAGAGGAATTAGGAACACCGAGGATCCTATGGAGCACATAGCTCAAATGCTGGAGGCCTTGGTGCACAACTATGGTGGAGAACCAGCGGAGTACAGAGGGTTGTCAGCCTTCACTAGGCATGATCCTCCAAAGTTTGAGGGAGGGTTTAACCCTAAAGGAGCCCAGAAGTGGGTAGCTGATGTAGAGAAGGTTTTCAAGCTCAAGCAAGTCTCACTCTAGAGGAAGTTCATCCCAAGAGAAGAGTAGCAGTGGAAGTGGTTCTAGTACTAGCTCTTTCAGAGGGCAGATTAAATGTTTCCGGTGTGGAGGGCCACACATACTGAGGGATTGTCCACATCCAAGAACAAACTGCAGAAATTGTGGGAAGTTGGGACACACTGCCAATGTGTGTTGGTCCCCAAAGAGGAGTGACAGTACGAGCTCAGCTCAGAGACCTGAATCCAGAGGGAGTACTGGGCTGAGCACTGAGCCGAAGCCGAGCATACCAGGAAGAGTCTTTGCTATGAGTGGAGCGGAGGCATCACAGTCTGAGGAGCTGATCCGAGGTAAATGCACTATTAAGGGTTGATTGTTAGATATGTTGTTTGACTCGGGTGCTACGCACTCCTTTATTTCAGTGGATTGTGTGAAGAGTCTAAATTTGTATGTGACTGAATTGTCGTGTAATGTCATAGTGAATACCCCTATGGGTAAACCGGTTGTGACGTCGTGGGTATGCTTGGGATGTGCAATCATGGTGCATGATAGGGAGTTTGAGGTAGACTTGATTTGTTTGCCTCTTTCTCAGTTAGATGTAATTTTGGGGATGGATTGGTTAGCCGCCAACCATATGTTATTGGACTGCAGAGAAAAGACGTTGATCTTTGGTGCATCAATGTTAGAAATTCTGAGACTTTTGAGCCGTGGAGCAAGGGAAAATACGGTGGAGTTAACAGAGGTCAAGAAGCAAGTGGAGGAATTATTGCAGAAGCGGTTTGTGCGTCCAAGTATATCACCATGGGGAGTGCCAGTGTTGTTGGTGAAGAAGAAGGATGAAAGTATGAGAATGTGCGTAGATTACCGCCAGTTGAACAAGGTCACAATAAAGAACAAGTACCCATTACCAAGAATTGACAATTTGATGGACCAGCTAAAAGGAGCTGCAGTGTTTTCAAAGATTGATTTGAGGTCGGGGTACCATCAGATTAGGGTCAAAGAGGATGATGTCCCTAAGACAGCGTTTAGGACGCGATATGGTCACTATGAGTACTTGGTAATGCCGTTTGGGGTGACCAATGCGCCTGCGGTGTTCATGGACTACATGAACAAAATTTTCCATGAATTTTTGGATAAATTTGTGATGGTGTTCATTGACGACATCCTAATTTATTCAAAAACTCAGGAGGAGCATGCCGAGCACTTAAGATTTGTTTTGCGAATTCTGAAAGAGAGACAGTTGTACGCAAAATTTTTCAAGTGTGAATTCTGGTTGACAGAGATTCAATTTCTGGGACATGTAGTGTCGAAGGAAGGAATCAGAGTAGACCCTGCAAAGGTAGAAGCAGTAGTCAATTGGACGAGGCCGACAAATGTGACTGAGGTCCATAGTTTTTTGGGGTTGGCAAGCTATTACAAAAAGTTTATTGAGGGGATTTCTAAAATAGCATTGCCCCTAACGAAGTTGACCCGCACGGGAAAGGAGTTTAAGTAGACCAAGGGGTGTGAGGCTAGCTTCTTGGAGCTAAAGATAAGGTTGACTTCGGCGCCGGTGTTAGCTCTACCTGACCCGGAACAGAAGTTTGACGTATACTGTGACGCATCCGGACATGGACTTGGATGTGTCTTGATGCAGGACAGGTGAGTTGTTGCCTATGTCTCATGACAGTTACGTCCGCACGAAGTTAATTATCTAACTCATGACTTGGAGTTAGCCGTGGTGGTATTTGCTCTCAAGGTGTGGAGGCATTATCTCTATAGAGCGAGGTTTGAGGTGTTCAACGACCACAAGAGCCTGAGGTATCTGTTTGATCAGAGGGTGTTGAACATGCAATAGAAGAGATGGATGAAATTCCTCTAGGACCATGACTTCACATTGTCTTACC